GGTATTATGGATTTGCCTCTCACTTATAAGTGTCGTATTGTTAGGAATTATATGCATGCATGGCAGGAAGAGTACAAAATGTAATGTAGATTTAATATCCATTGTGTGTTATTTTTTATCTAATGCAATTTGTTTTATTGGTAGGTTTGCAAATGATTGTATATAGCTAGGTTATTTGTAAATCACTCGAGTCCCATTCATGTTGAAACTTTTATTTCTCTTTTATTCCGAAGGTTTCTCAAGACGTTCCAAAGTACACAATGGTTTCTGGAGAACGAGCTGAGCTGCGTGGATTAAATCTAGAAGGTCTACGACGACATGGATTCTCAACCATGGAGGTTAGTTTTTGGTCTCTTCACACTGAATGGGTTTTTGGTAGTTTAATCGTGTTGGGAGGATTTCCAGTTGTGTATTTATGTTTGCATCACAATTGGACCTGAGAAGACAATGTAGTCTGTAGGGCATATTCTTCTCTATTTGAGATTTTGAACTTTGAGAACACTGTAGGACATTCTCTCTCTTTTGAGACTGAAATTGGATTTTTTGTTTTCACCATGCTTCNCTTTCCGTAACATCGGCTTAACGAAGATAGAGTCCTCTCAGCCTTTGTGTATTTATGGATGCATCACAATGGGACCTGAGAAGGCAATGTAGGCTATTGGGCATATTCTTCTCTATTTGAGATTTTGAACTTTGAGAACACTGTAGGACATTCTCTCTCTTTTGAGACTGAAATTGGATTTTTTGTTTTCACCATGCTTCCACTTATTTTATTGTTATTTAATATATCATTTCTACTTTACTGTCCCCACAACAGTTACATCAGTTTGTTTGGGTCTAAAGATTACATGAAAAATTACGTCGAGAACTTTCATCCACTACTATTAAAGTGAAACAAAAGCATATAATGATGGTAAATGTTCTATTCTCCTTGTTTGTTTTTGGGCAATTGTGGAGTAGGTTCGTAGAAACCATGTTGATAAGATACATAAGAATACATGGGATCAGGGGCAGATTGGGGGGAAGGCCTGGCTCTTGCCCAAGCCTAGATACAAAATTCTTTATGTGAAAAACTTATTTTATATTATATAGTCCACACCAAATCAACTATAGCGCAGCTCAACTTTAAATTAGTCTACTCATGCTCTAGCCTAATGCCCAGTTGCACATTTAAGCCTATATCCTGATACCCCTACCCTGTCAGCCCAATGTAATAAATTGAGTTTCTGATTTCAACAGTCCAAATTCAACCTAAATTTAATTTCATGCCCTAGCCTAATGCCCAATTGCACATTTAAGCCTATATCGTGATACCCCTACCTTGTCAGCCCAATGTAAAAAATTCAGTTTCTAATTTCATCCACCCAAAATTCAACCTAAATTGAATTTCTAATTTCATCTGCCCAAATATGTCACCCTTGTTTTTGCAGTTTATTTGCTCATGTTAATAGTCTTAAGGTTAAGATTATATGATCTGATAATGATTATTGGAATAATTGGTCGTGGATGAATATAAATTAGTTTATAAACTTTATGGGTAGCAAATTGATGGGTGATTTTTTTGGAAGAGATTATATCGATTTTTATTAATTGAAAATGAAGAGAACTTTGCAAAATTACATGCAAATTTGTTGAAAAGTCTTTGCCCTAATTATAAAGTTTTTTTTTTTTAAAATACTAGTAGTCAATTTTAGACTTTATGGGTCAGAAAACGTTGGGTTGGATGAGTAGATAGAGAAGATGCAAGTACATTGAGATTTTTACAAGAAAAAGAAAAGGTTTGTCAATTTTAACCTTTTCAGCTGTCACATAGGTACTTGAGACTTGATACATTTTAATAGTAATTCCATGTAACGACTTTTTTCGGTTATATATGAATTTTATTCACACAAGGACTGTTTTTAAAAATTCAGCCCCCAAAAGTGAATTCCTGGCTTTGCCCCAGCATAGAATTGAAAACTCATGATATAGGTGATGCAGCATGGAGATCTTTTCATTGAACTAAGTTTAATGGGGGTGGATTTTGTAATGATCCGTGTCTCTATTGTTCGCTTGGGATTGGCCTATGTCCAATTACCCTCTCATGGCTTTCTATTGCGTTCCTCAGGATTCGAATTCAAGACTTCTATTTAATGAGAGACTTAAGTTGAATCTTGGTACCAAAGCTGACAGTATGTAAGCTAACGGCTAGGATATAGAGACCTGGGTCGTTATATATTTTGTTTACTACGTAATATTGCAAACAAATTGAAGTGTTATACCGTCCATATAAAAAATTCAACCTGACCCTATGGGCT